GGAATGCTGCCTATGACCCCAAGAACACCATCCCCACCGTCAAACATGGAGGTGGAAACATTATGCTTTAGGGGTGTTTTTCTGCTAAGGGGACAGGACAACTTCAGCGCATCAAAGGGATGATGGACGGGGCCATGTACCGTCAAATCTTGGGTGAGAACCTCCTTCCCTCAGCCAGGATATTGAAAATGGGTCGTGGATGGGTATTCCAGTATGACAATGACCCAAAACACACGGCCAAGGCAACAAAGGAGTGGCTCAAGAAGAAGCACATTAAGGTCCTGGAGTGGCCTAGCCAGTCTCCAGACCTTAATCCCATAAAAAATCTGTGGAGGGAGGTGAAGGTTCGAGTTGCCAAACGTCAGCCTCGAAACCTTAATGACTTGGAGAAGATCTGCAAAGAGGAGTGGAACAAAAATGGAGTTGCTTACCAAGAAGACAGTAAATGTTCCTGAGTGGCCGAGTTACAGTTTTGACTTAAATCTACTTGAAAATCTATGGCAAGACTTGAAAATGGTTGTCTAGCAATGATCAACAACCAATTTGACAGAGCTTGAAGAATTTTGAAAAGAATAATGGGCAAATGTTGCACAATCCAGGTTTGAAAAGCTCTTAGAGACTTTCCCAGAAGGTCTCCCAGCTGTAATCGCTATCAAAGGAGGTTCTACAAAGTATTGAGTCAGGGGTGTGAATACTTATATCAATGAGACATTTCTGTATTTCATTTTCAGTAATGCAACGTTTCAAAAAACATGTTTTCACTTTGTCATTATGGCGTATTGGGTGTAGATGGGTGAGATTATTATTTTTTCAATCCATTTTGAATTCCGGATGTAACACAAAATGTGGAATAAGTCAAGGGGGATTAATACTTTCGGAAGGCACGTGCAGGAAACTAAATCGGAAAGTAAGTAAAGTACTGAATCAATCAATCATTCAATCAAATGTATTTATAAAGTCCTTTTTATATCAGCAGATGTCACAAAGTGCTTACAGTATATAATATTTGGTGGATGATTGAATTGATGAATTTGTTCAATCAAATGTTTGCTTGGTATACCTACAGGCATTTTGGGAACAATGTTGGTACAGAATATATCTGGGCTAGTATATCTGGGCCAGCTACTTTGCACCTCAGTCTTTGACAACGCCACCAGGCAGCCACCACAGAGGAAGTCACAGTCACACCCCCAGTCAAACCCAACAGGAAGTGAGATGTGAAATGTAAGTGTCACTTCAGCTCTTAAAAACATTCACAACATGTTCCTCTATTCACCCCCCTTAGCATTTTTCCTATTTTGTTAAATTACAACCTGGAATTAAAACATATTTTTGTGGGGTTTGTATCATTTGATTTACACAACATGCCTACTACTTTGAAGATGCAAAATAATTTTTTATTGTGAAACAAACAAGAAATGAGACAAAAAAACAGAAAACTTGAGCGTGCATAACTATTCACCCCCCATAAAGTCAATACTTTGTAGAGCCACCTTTTGCAGCAATTACAGCTGCAAGTCTCTTGAGGTATGTCTCTATAAGCTTGGCACATCTAGCCACTGGGATTTTTGCCCATTCTCTCATACCATTGGACACACTGTTTATATTATATCCTTGCTGCGTGGAAATCTGTTGCTATTTTCATGTGTCAGATTTGATGGACCTGGGACCAGATACAGTATACTGTGACTGTCCCTCTACAATTCACTAGTGGTCCTAAACTCACAGGATAAAATAACAAGAGCTCAGCGACATCAGACCAGAGATCTGATAGGCAGTTGGGGCTTTCAACTTCATTAATAGATCATTCATTATTAACCATCAGTCTATGGACGAAGGTCTTACATGCTAGCCTGGTCTCATAGACTAGAGGTAACATAGTAAATGTATATCCGGGACTCTGAAATTAGTATGATATGTTATATTTGGTATGGTAACATAAGACAGATGGTTACTTAAGGCAAAAACAAAAGTAGGGTGGTTGGTCGTAGTGGATGGGACCTCGCTTTGTGCATTGTCATGCTGAAATAGGAAAGGGCCTTCACCAAACTATTGCAACAAATTTGGAAGCACAGAATCGTCTAGAAATGTCATTGTATGCTGTAGTGTTAAGATTTCCCTTCACTGGAACTAAGGGGCCTAGCCCGAACCATGAAAAACAGCCCCAGACCATTATTCATCTTCCACCAAACTTTACAGTTGGCACTATGCATTGGGGCAGGTAGCGTTCTCCTGGCATCTGTCAAACCCAGATTAGTCCGTAGGACTCCAGAGGATGCTTTTCCACTGATCCAGAGTCCAATGGCGGTAAACTTTACACCACTCCAGCCGACACTTGGCATTGCACATGGTGATCTTAGGCTTGTGTGTGGCTACTTGGCCATGGAAACCCATTTCATGAAGCTCCCGACGAACAGTTCTTGTGCTGACGTTGCTTCCAGAGGCAGTTTGGAACTCGGTAGTGAGTGTTGCAACCGAGGACAGACGATTTTTATGCACTACGTGCTTCAGCACACGGCGGTCCTGTTCTGTGAGCTTCTGTGGCCTACCACTTCGCAGCTAAGCCGTTGTTGCTCCTAGATGCTTCCACTTCACATATTTGACAAACTGACTTGTTGGAAAGGTGGTATCCTATGAAGGTGCCACGTTGAAAGTTACTGAGGTCTTCATTAAGGCCATTCTACTGCCAATGTTTGTCTATGGAGATTGCATGGCTGTGTGCTCAATTTTATATCAAATCAAATTAAATGTATTTATAAAGCCCTTTTTACATCAGCAGATGTCACAAAGTGCTTATACAAAAACCTAGCCTAAAACCCCAAACAGCAAGCAATGCAGATGTAGAAGCACAGTGGCTATGAAATACTCCCTAGAAAGGCAGGAACCTAGGAAGAAACCTAGAGAGGAACCAGGCTCTGAGGGGTGGCCAGTCCTCTTCTGGCTGTGCCGGGTGGAGATTGTAAGAGTACATGGACATTAAGGCCAGATTGTTCTTCAAGATGTTCAAACGGTCATAGATGACCATCAGGGTCAAATAATAATCTAAGTGGTTGTAGAGGTTGCAACAGGTCAGTACCTCAGGAGTAAATGTCAGTTGGCTTTTCATAGCTGAGCATTCAGAGAGAGAGAGAGAGAGAGAGAGAGAGAGAGAGAGAGAGAGAGAGAGAGAGAGAGAGAGAGAGAGAGAGAGAGAGAGAAAACCACAGAGAACCACAGAGAGAGAAACAGAGAACCACAGAGAGAGAAACAGAGAACCACAGAGAGAGAAACAGAGAAACAGCAGGTCCGGGACAAGGTCAGGGTTCCATAGCCGCAGGCAGAACAGTTGAAACTGGAGCAGCACGACCAAGTGGACTGGGGACAGCCAGGAGTTATCAGGCCAGGTAGTCCTGAGGCATGGTCCTAGGACCACCTGTCAGCAACGGGTGTGGCTGAAATAGCCGAATCCACTAATTTGAAGGGGTATCCACATGGGACTAAACACCTCCCTCTGCAACTGGACTTCCTGAAGGGCCGCCCCCAGGTGGTAAGGGTAGGCAACAACACATCTGCCACGCTGATCCTCAACACCGGGGCCCCTCAGGGGTGCGTGCTTAGTCCCTTCCTGTACTCCCTGTTCACCCACAACTGTGTGGCCAAGCACGATTCCAACACCATCGTTAAGTTTGCTGACGACACAACAGCGGTAGGCCTGATCACCGACAACGATGAGACAGCCTATAGGGAGGAGGTCAGAGACCTGGCAGTGTGGTGCCAGGACAACAACCTCTCCTCAATGTGAGCAAGTCAAAGGAGATGATCGTGGACTCCAGGAAAGGGAGGGCCGAACAGGGCCCCATTAACATCGACGGGGCTGTAGTGGAGAGGGTCGAGAGTTTTTCAAGTTCCTTGGTGTCCACATCACACCAAGACAGTCGTGAAGAGGGCACGACAACACCTTTCTCCCTCAGGAAACTGAAAAGATTAGGCATGGGCCCCCAGATCCTTAAAACGTTCTACAGCTGCACCATCGAGAGCATCCTGACTGATTGCATCACCGCCTGGTATGGCAACTGCTCGGCATCCAACAGTATGGCGCTACAGAGGGTAGTGCCAGTGCGTACGGCCCAATACATCACTGGGACCAAGCTTCCTGCCATCCAGGACCTATATAATAGGCGGCCCAAAAAATGGTAAAAGACTCCAGTCACCCAAGTCATAGACTGTTCTCTCTGCTACCGTACGGCAAGCGGTACCGGAGCGCCAAGTCTAGGTCCAAAAGGCTCCTTAACAGCTTCTACCCACAAGCCATAAGACTGCTGAACAATTAATCAATTGGCCACCCAGACTATATAAATTGACCCCCCCCCCCCCCCTTTGTTTTTACACTGCTGCTACTCGCTGTTTATTATCTATGCATAGTCACTTTACCCCTACCTACATGTACAAATGACCTCGACTAACCTGTACCCTCGCACATTGACTCGGTACCGGTACCCCCTGTATATAGCCTCATTATTGTTATGTAATCTTATTGTCTTACTTTTTATTTTATTCTTTCCTTTAGTTTATTTAGCAAATATTCTCGTAACTCTATTTCTTGAACTGCATTGTTGGTTAAGGGCTTGTAAGTAAGCATTTCACGGTAAGGTCCTGTTGTATTTGGCGCATGTGACAAATAACATTTGATATGATTTGATATAGTGTATCATACGAATTGCGTGATGGATATCCACAAATTAATACATACATACGAAATGTAACATATCATGCAGGCAGCACTAGCAGTCTGAGGGTGGTCTCACATGCAGTGCTATAGTCTGGCTGTCGGCACCTTAGATTGGCACACACACGATTGACACACACACACACACACACACACACACACACATTGTGCACTTCTTCCGTATAGCCATAATACTGTTCCAAGCTCTTCTCTCACCTCTCTGTCACCCCCCCCCCCCCCCCCCCCTCAGCCCAACACAGGAAGCACAGAGGTCTGTTTACACAGCTAGCATCTTATGCATGCGTACATCTCTACATCTGCCCTGTGGAGCGGAACTGAACTGTGGTGGCTAGAGGAGAGGTTGGTTCCAGCTTCAGATCTCCAGTAGCTCTCTCCACCCAGCCAGTCAGTAGCACTTTCCCCCCCCAGCCAGTAAGTAGCTCTTTCCCCTCCAGCCAGTCAGTAGATCTTTCCCCTCCAGCCAGTCAGTAGATCTTTCCCCTCCAGCCAGTCAGTAGCTCTCTTCCCTCCAGCCAGTCAGCCTGAAGTTGGACACATCATCCCACCACCCCACATCCACAACATGAGCGGAAAACGGAAACTGAGTGAGTAGCCTACGATGTGTGGAGTACCACTTCAGTGTGTTTGTGTGTTTGTGTGTGTGTGTGTGTGTGTGTGTGTGTGTAAAGTGACGATTCACGTTAATCATAAACTAAATGTACCTCTATTACGATTATGTCACGCTGGTGACAGGAGTACGCACCTGCTATTCCTCTCATTAGTCTCATGAAAATAAAGCGATAGACAGTATAACACAAAATATCTACAGTGTCTATCTCTACATCTTTCTTTTTTAGACTGACCTAGATAAGGCTTTCTAACTGCTAAATAAATGAATAGGGACATGGTAAATAATGCACTTCTCCTGATCTAGCCTGCTCTAAGGCTGTGCTAAATCTACACCATTACAATAACATGAGTCATGATGACTATAGACCACGTATCAGGGACATGCATGACTCAACACCATAGAAATCATATACTGCATTATAATGTACAGGTTATATATGATAGGCTATATTCCTGACATATACCTCAGCCTGGTTTAATGGAGAACATTTCTGATGACGTTTTTTTCTGTACTTCACTGACGGAAAGAGGTGAAACTGTGAAAATACCACACTCACACACAAGCGAATGCGTGCACGCTCTCAAACACAAACACATACACACACACACACACACACACACACACACACAAGAACTGCAGCAGCAGCACACACAAGAAACACGTCAGTTTCATCTGTTATCTGTCCTCTTTGAATGTGCTCTTTACTCCACAGAGTAGATAGACAGTAGATAAGATGTCACAGCTGCAAAGGTTATGGTACAAAATTATCCTTCACTGTCTGGCCAGTGTGACCACTGCCTCTTTGAGGACAAAGTAAAGACCAGTAGCTTCTTTCTCATCTCCTGTCCACAGTACAGCACTGGCTGCCCTGTTCTGTCCGTATCAGAGTCTGTTTTATATTTAGCTCTGGTGGTTCTGTACCTATCAGAGTCTTCTCAGTAAATGGTCTGGACAGAACCACACAATAGTCTAGAGAAAGTGCAGAGAACAACGGTTATTACTGTGAAAGTTAGTAGCCTACTGTAGCCTACCTTTCTAGAATCACAGGTATCCAAAAGCAGGCAAAGCATCACTTTTTTGCTCAATAATCAGTACAGACAGTGCCTTCAGAAAATATTCATACCCCTTGACTTATTCCACATTTTGTTGCGTTACAGCCTGAATTCAAAATTGATTAAATATGTTTTTTCTCACCCCTCCACACACAATACCCCATAATGACAAAGTGAAAACATGTTTTTAGAAATTGTAGCAAATGTATTGAAAATGAAACACAGAAATATCTCCCTTTTTCCACATTTTGTTACGTTAGTCTTATTCTAAAATGGATTAAATAAATAAAAACCCTCATCAATCTACACACAATACCCAATAATGACAAAGCGAAAACAGGTTTTTAGAAATGTTTGCAAATTTATAAAACCTAAAAAACAGAAATACCTTATTTACATAAGTATTCAGACCATTTGCTTTGAGACTCAAAATTGAGCTCAGGTGCATCCTGTTTCCATTGATCATCCTTGAGATGTTTCTACAACTTGATTGGAGTCCACCTGTGGTAAATTCAATTGATTGGACATGATATGGAAAGGCACGCACACACTTGTCTATATAAGGTCCCACAGTTGACAGTGCATGTCAGAGCAAAAACCAAGCCATGAGGTCGAAGGAATTGTCGGTAGAGCTCAGAGAAAACATTTCTGCAGCATTGAAGGTCCCCAAGAACACAGTGGCCTCCATCATTCTTAAATGGAAGAAGTTTGGAACCACCAAGACTCTTCCTAGAGCTGAACGCACGGCCAAACTGAGCAATCGGGGGAGAAGGGCCTTGGTCAGGGAGGTGACCAAGAACCCGATGGTCACTCTGACAGAGCTCCAAAGTTCCTCTGTGGAGATGGGAGAACATTCCAGAAGGACAACCATCTCTGCAGCACTCCACCAATCAGGCCTTTATGGTAAAGTGGTTAGACGGAAGCCACTCCTCAGTAAAAGGCACATGACAGCCTGCTTGGAGTTTGCCAAAAGGCACCTAAAGGACTCTCAGACAATGAGAAACAAGATTCTCTGGTCTGATGAAACCAAGATTGAACTCTATGGCCTGAATGCCAAGCGTCACGTCTGGAGGAAACCTGGCACCATCCCTACGGTGAAGCATGGTGGTGGCAGCATCATGCTGTGGAGATGTTTTTCAGCAGCAGGGACTGGGAGACTAGTCAGGATCGAGGGAAAGATGAACAGAGCAAAGTACAGAGAGATCCTTGATGAAAACCTGCTCCAAAGTGCTCAGAACCTTAGACTGGGGCGAAGGTTCACCTTCTAACAGGACAACGACTCTAAGCACACAGCCAAGACAACGCAGGAGTGGCTTCGGGACAAGTCTCTGAATGTCCTTGAGTGGCCCAGCCAGAGCCCGGACTTGAACCAAATCGTTAATCTCTGGAGAGACCTGAAAATAGCTGTGCAGTGCAGCTCCCCATCCAACCTGAAAGAGCTTGAGAGGATCTGCAGAGAATAATGGGAGAAACTCCCCAAATACAGGTGTGCCAAGCTTGTAGCATCATACCTAAGAAGACTCTAGGCTGTAATCACTGCCAAAGTTGCTTCAACAAAGCACTGAGTAAAGGGTCTGATATTTCTGTTCTTTTTTTTTTAATGCTTTTGCTAAAAAATCTAAAAACCTGTTTTTGCTTCGTCATTATGGGGTACAGCCGTGAGTCTTTCTGGGTAAGTCTCTAAGAGCTTTGCACATCTGGATTGTAAAATATTTGCCACTTATTATTTTTGAAATTCTTCAAGCTCTGTGAAATTGTTTGTTGATCATTGCTAGACAACCATTTTCAAGTCTTGTCATAGATTTTCAAGCAGATTTAAGTCCAAATTGTAACTCTGCCACTCAGGGACTTTCACTGTCTTCTTGGTAAGCAACTCCAGTGTACATTTGGCCTTGTGTTTTAGGTTATTGTCCTGCTGAAAGGTGAATTCATTTCCCAGTGTCTGGTGGAAAAAACAGGATTTTGCATGTGCTTAGCTCCATTCTGTTTCTTTTGTTATCCTGAAAACCTCCCCTTAATGATTACAATCATACCCATAACATGACGCTGCCACCACTATGCTTGAAAATATGTAGAGTGGTACTCAGTAAAGTGTTGTATTGGATTTGCCCCAAACATAACATTTTTGTATTCAGGTGAAAAAGTTAATTGCTTTGCCGCATTGTTTGCTGTATTACTTTAGTCATGTGCCTTGTTGCAAACAGGATGCATGTTTTGGAATATTTGTATTTTGTACAGGCATCCTTCTTTTCACTCTGTCATTAAGGTTAGTATTGTGGAGTAACTACAATGTTGTTGATCCATCCTCAGTTTTTTCCTATCACAGCCATTAAACTCTGTAACTGTTTTAAACTCACCATTGGCCTCGTGGGGAAATCCCTAAACAGTTTCCTTCCTCTCCAGCAAGTTAGAAGGGACGCCTGTATCTTTGTAGTAATTAGGTGTATTGATACACCAGCCAAAGTGTAAATAATAACTTCACAATGCTCAAAGAGATATTCAATGTCTGCTTTTTTTTTTTTTACCCATTGGAAAACCTCCCTGGTCTTTGTCGTTTAATCTGTGTTTGGAATTCACTGCTCAACTGAGGGACCTTACAGATAAGTGTATGTGTTGGGTACAGAGATGAGGTAGTCATTCAAAAATCATGTTAAACACTATTATTGCACACAGAGAGTCCATGCAACTTAGTATGTGACTTGTTAAGCAAATTTTACTCCTGAACTTATTTAGGCTTGCCATGACAAAGGTGTTGAATACTTATTGACTCAAGCCATTTCAGCTTTACATTTTTGATTAATTTATTTAAAAAACATGATTCCACTTTGACATTATGGGATAACGTGTGTAGGCCAGTAACAAAAAACAACAACATTTAATCAATTTTAAATTCAGGCTGTAACACAACAGAATGTGGAAAAAGTCAATGGGTGTGAATACTTTCTGAATGCACTGTATTAGGCCTACATTCCCCATCACCAATGCATCATCATCATCAGTACTGACTCAGTCTCAACTGCTCCATACAAACTAAATAGGTTGCCGGGTCCTCTATCTTAACACATTATCATCCTCAATATTCAATAATTCAATTTAAAGCCCCCATGCAGTCTTTAAAATTGTATTTTTAAATCAACACTGTATGTTTAATAAATCACTGTGTGTGTTTACTTCATGAAAATATTTTTTATAATTTCTTTCCCTGAGCCTCCTTTTGCCATTGAAATGCTCGTGTGGGTATGTTTATATGCAAATAAAAGATGACTGGTCATTGGTCAGAATAATCAGATCAGATTGTGATGTCATGCTGTGGGCCAAAAACCCCATCCCACCTGAACAGGCTGAAATTCCAGCAATTTTCTTTTACACTAAAAGGGCAGTTATTACGACCTCATAGCGTGGAAATAGCGTGGAAACTGCCCCTTTAAAGAATTGTTTCAAAAAGTTAGCTCATACCCCCTCAGACAAGTTGTTTCCATTCTTGCCCAGTGTTTATGTATTGTTCCCCTGAGGGGCTGTTCTGGATCTTCCACCAACTCTGAATCTGACCATATTATACAGTTAGCTTTGAACAGCTGGAGGTCTATGAAAAAGAACCAGGCATAGGCCTTCACCTCCTGCAGTCCAACAACTCAGCCCAAGGGGTCAATACATTACATTCCAAACATTCTAGAACATACTCAACATTCTAGAACACTTCAAACAGTTTATGTGATGAAATGAAACAAAACAGACTATACAGAAGAGAACAGACATATTACTAAGAGCATACCAGGGTATTACTGTAAATGTATGACACATTTTCTGTCTGTTTCTCCCCCTCCCTCAACAGGTTTCAAGTGGTTAGGGAGTCTCTCCAACCTCTCCTTTCGTCGCGGCTCATCGTCAGACAAATCCGACTCCAAGTCTTCTCCCTCCAAGCCTGACGGGGGCAGAGCTCTGGATGTGGTATCCTCCCCCGACGCCGTGGAGACATCAGTTGACGACATGGATATGACGCGTCCACGCACCTACAGCTACGCCCGCTCCAGCGACAACTACACCCACATGGGCACCTTGCCCCGCCTCCTCCTCAGGAAGAGGGACAAGAGTGGGAATTCTGGGAAAGGAGGAACCAAGAAGACCAAGGAGAAGACGGGGGCGGGGCTGGGCAGGAGTCAGAGCCAGCGGCAGGCAGGGGACCATGTGTCTAGCTCTCCCCTTCTCACAGCTCTATCCAGCCAGCCTGGCTCCAGACAGGACCAGAATCTCTCACCTCTATCCAGCCAGGCTGGTCCTGGTCCAAGGACCCAACAAGTCCAGGGGCTGCCTCCCATCCCCAGAGGGGGATCACTCAGTAAGAGTAAACACAGAGGCCCACAGGCCCACTGTGAGGGAGGAGAACCACAGGCCCACTGTGAGGGAGGAGACCCACAGAAATGGCAGCTAATGTCAGCTCAGGGTGTGGGGTCCACTACCTACTCTACCGCTTCCTCACTTGTTTGTGATGACGTCCCTAAAGGAAACACATTCACCACTGATCAGGGTGTTCCATCCCCAGATACAGCATCAACTGGTGGGGCCAGAAGGAATCTTCCTCCTGTTCCTGGTCAGTCAGTTTCAATCTCCTCACAGAGCCAGGTGACCATCCCCACAGAGGAGCCATCTCCAACCCCTAAGCTTCCTATGAAATCCCTGCAGCAGCCTGGGACCCAGGTCACCCAGCATTGTGAGGAGGGCTTCCCCTGGGAGAGAGCTGATAACCTGGGGACAGACAGTAACTCCAGCCCCCTGCCTGAGACGACCTCCTGTGGTTCTAGTAGAAGAGACCTTCAGAGGGAAACTCAGGCTGTTGAACCTGTGAACAGGTGAGAGTAACCATTTATTGAATTTCAACCAAAACTGCCATTGTGGATGTGATAAAACTGCCATTGTGGATGTAATAAAATTGCCATTGTGGATGTGATAAAACTGCCATTGTGGGTGTGATAAAACTGCCATTGTGGATGTAATACAACTGCCATTGTGGACGTGATAAAACTGCCATTGTGGATGTGATAAAACTGCTCCACTGTTTGTAATGCAGCTCAGCATGATCAGTATCCCTGATTGGTTACTATCTCATAGATACAACTTCTGTGAGAGGGAGGGAAAGTATGACTAATTTTAGTTACCACAGCCCAACCTGAGGATCTGCAGTACAGTGCCTCTGTCTGGAGGCCTCTGAGCAGACAGACTGATGACTCAATTTCTATTAGGGTCGAATGTCACAGACTAAAATGTCAGAAGGAAACTCCCCTGACCTGTGAAAGAAAATGGTGTGTCTTACTGTCCGAGGACATTCTGCAGAGACGTCATTCTTGGGTCTGGGTATTTCACTTCCAGTATGAAGAAGAGTCGCCGTGAGTCGCAGTATCAAGGAACCTGTAGGCATTATGTCATAGTGAAACTGAGTTCCTTGAAGTATAATGATTTTCTCTGAAGAGCTATGTTTTCCACTGTGGAACAACATATTCGACTTCTTTACAGGTATCAAATCAAATAAAACTGTATTTATATAGTACATTTCTTACAGAGGATGCATTTCAAAGTATACCCTGCGAGTACAAAACATCAGGAACACCTGCTCTTTCCAAGACATAGACTGACCAGGTGAATCCAGGTGAAAGCTATGATCCCTTATTGATGTCACTTGTTAAAGCAACTTCAATCAGTGTAGATGAAGGGGAGGAGACAGGTTAAAGAATGATTTTTAAGCCTTGAGACAATTGAGACATGGATTGTGTATGTGTGCCATTCAGAGGGTGAATGGGCAAGACAAAATATTTAAGTGCCTTTGAACAGGGTATGGTAGTAGGTGCCAGGCGCACCGGTTTGAGTGTGTCAAGAACTGCAACGCTGCTGGGTTTTCACCCTCAGCAGTTTCCTGTGTGTATCAAGAATGGTCCACTACCCAAAGGACATCCAGCCAACCTGACACAACTGTGAGAACTGGGAAGCATTGGAGTCAACATGGGCCAGCATCCCTGTGGAATGCTTTCAACACCTTGTAGAGTCCATGCCCTGACTAATTGTTTTGTCTATATTACAATAAAAATATCACAGTTGAGACTTGAGAATAATTTATATCCCAAGACTACTTTTGAGATGATTGCCAAATGTACAATATGTCGCAAGCTTTTAGGCTTGATGATTAGTCCAATTATTTAAAAAGTGGAATGGGTATATAAGTCGTATGTGGTAGCAATCTTCTCAGATGCGCAGCAAGACTGCAGTAAAGACGACCTGGAATGCAACCAGTGACTCTTGCGCAAAGCAGTGGATTGAGTGGCAAAAGTGGCACGCCTGATGCCCAAATTGAGGACGTATGCCGTGCAGCTGATGCCTCGTTCAAAACAACTGGGAACTCTTAACTTGGACTTCAGTGCGTTCAAGACAACTGGGAACTCTTAACTTGGACTTCAGAGCGTTCAAGACAACTGGGAACTCTTAACTTGGACTTCAGTGCGTTCAAGACAACTGGGAACTCTTAACTTGGACTTCAGAGCGTTCAAGACAACTGGGAACTCTTAACTTGGACTTCAGTGCATTCATGACAACTGGGAACTCTTAACTTGGACTTCAGAGCGTTCAAGACAACTGGGAACTCTTAACTTGGACTTCAGTGCGTTCAAGACAACTGGGAACTCTTAACTTGGACTTCAGAGCGTTCAAGACAACTGGGAACTCTTAACTTGGACTTCAGTTCGTTCAAGACAACTGGGAACTCATAACTTGGACTTCAGTGCGTTCAAGACAACTGGGAACTCTTAACTTGGACTTCAGAGCGTTCAAGACAACTGGGAACTCTTAACTTGGACTTCAGTGCGTTCAAGACAACTGTGAACTCTTAACTTGGACTTCAGAGCGTTCAAGACAACTGGGAACTCTTAACTTGGACTTCAGTGCGTTCAAGACAACTGTGAACTCTTAACTTGGACTTCAGAGCGTTCAAGACAACTGGGAACTCTTAAATAGTTTTGAACCGTCATCCAACTCGGAATTCCATGTCGGAAATAGGTTGACCACATTTAAAATACACAAATGTGAGAAAACATTTAGCAGCCCCCCCCCCCACTCACCCCCAATGTAAATGACGTTATAATGCATGACGTCGAAGTCTGTACCGACAGATGTAACCTATTGAATAAAATACATCCTCCAATTGCAACGTCTGTCTATGCCCACACTGATTGTCTCAGTAACATTTTTCCTTTTGAATACCCTCCAAACTGCGTCTGCATTCAAATCATTTGATCTCAATCAGTTTCATTGGAATATGCATTTAGATCATCTTGAATTACTGTTTCGTGAGCAAATTAGAGGAGCATATGGTGTTAACAGACTATATAGCCTTCCTGTATTTCGTTTCAATCAAAGCACATTCTGCCTTGTTATGCGCTTTTGATTTTTGGACTATTCATTCTGCTAATCATCCTAAAATAAGAAATGAGGTGGTGTTTTTTAACAGTAATGCTTTAATATTTGGTTATGTTAATAGAATACTAATGAATCATTATGTGATCTTCCAAGACATTGATTCAGCCTTGATCTAACTTTACTAAACGAGCACCACTGTGAGAAGTAGCGGAGCAACCCTCTGCAGCACTACACCCCTGCAGTCCGTTGCATGGAATGAGTAATTGAAGCGCACCTAGCCTATTCTGTTGCCTCATGAAACATTTGGTGATGCAGAAATAAGAGACCACATGTGTGGCTGTTTTATGAAAATATATGAATATTTGGCTGAAACATTTCTGGTTGGTCTGAGGATTGAGAGAAGTAGCAGCACATGTTGAATGAGCAACTAATGACCATGGAGAGTCTGACAAGTCTGATATGGCTATTCACTTACTTTTGTAGCTCTTCATCAGAAGCACTCTTTTTAAAAAGTAGTTAGGCATAACTGTCCTCTCCAAGTTTAGCTGGAATTTAGCCTGAAAGGATTTGATAAATGTGATTGGTTGATGATAGGCCTATGACATTGGACTACGTCTCATCTTGCGCTGTGCAGAATATCAGATCTCAACAACGATTGGAAAAGTTGTTGAACATCACCAGTAGGCTACCACATCCTTATGATTTATATATATGAATAAGTGCAACGTGACTTCAATATACAGTTCAGAATGTCTGACTGAAATACCGGACAAATCGACTTTTTTCTAAATTAGTGGTGTTTGAATTTGTTGATAAAATGCGGGACATGATTGTTTGGTTGCGGGATGAGGGACAAAGGGCCAAAATGCGGGACTGTCCCGCACAATCCGGGAAATGTGATCACGAAACGGAAACTCATGCATCTTTCTAGAGCTCCGACTTTCCGACCTGAAAATCACTGAGGTCATGATTTGACCTAGTTTCTTTCCGGAGTTCCCAGTTGTCTTCAAAGCGCCATGAGAGACCGGTGGAGATTAATGCATTTCCATATCTATCGATGTGATAGAATCATTTTCAAAGCATCTAGTCTATGTCTTAACATTAATAAATGCGAACTCATGGCTGTCAAATATTGTGTGACACCCTCATATTATGGTATTCCAGTGAAAAAAGAAAGTATTTAGGCATAACCATTACTAAGAATCAAAAGTCTAGAGGCTTGTAACCCTGTTATTAAAAAACCGCCAGAAGAAGATCGTTTATAACCTTCTCTAGAAAAACGAGGGGGCAACGTTAGCAACGTTCCTTTCATGGGCAACGTTAGCTAGTTAACATTAGCCTTCTACATCTAGCTACATATTGACTTCCATCCTCTCAGTCCAGGGGCACAATGTATGAATTTATGGTTGGATATAATCATTGGCCAGTACGGAGAATTAAGGAAAACCACAAGTCCAAATCCCTATCTCCATCCATGGCTAATTTAGGAAAGGGACCATTTTAACTAGCTAGCTAGCCACCGGAGGACAACATCACAATGAGATGCAACAATTAAAATGGTTTCTGTCAATGACGTATTTCTCTTGATGCGATGTGATAGGAGTGAAGCCAAATCCAAACTGGCTTCCCTTTACAATTTATTTTGGTGCGCCAGGACCATTCACAGTTGAGCTCACTCAGTTTAGCTCAACGCTGATTGGCTATTATTTTATTTTTTTTAATATCAAGGGAGGCCAAATGCTCCCTGGCTTCCCTTGCATTCAATGCTACAGGCGGCAACAATGTCATACTCTTTAAGGCCAGACAGCATCATACAGGGACACAGGGGCGCTGTTTCACTCGCTTGGATGCTTGCTTTCTCCTGTGAGATACATTCACCCTTTTGCGAATAGAAGAACAATTATGAAAACACAGAGAGACGAAAGATACATTATTTTATATGTTTTTTTCTTTTTTTCTTGGTCAATTTTTAGGGGAAGCTTGGCTTCCCTTGGCATCCATGAAAATAAGCCACTGATGCTGCACACTCCAAGAAAGGTTAAAATCTCACCTTTATGGTAAAAATAAGCTCAAGTACACAGTACAAGATGATAATATTTTATTTGATGTATTTCCTATTCAACAAAACTATGACTAAGGCTTGAAATTACTTATATGCTTTCTAAATATAATATAATCAAATTATAAAACGACTAACTATAAGATTTCACCTTAATTATAACTGTAAAATACATATTTGTATGTTTAGTGTTAGAGACAATGTGCATATTTTCTAAAAGTCTCTCTTGATCAAAACGTCTGCCCCACATCTCTGTGAACATCTCACAGAGCTCTAGATTGGCTTCCTGAACTGGTTAGGAATTCGCCTTTCATCTCATATTAATCTTGTCCGCCTTTGACAAACAGAGAGTGTTTTTTGTTAAAAATCGATGAATTATTTTAGATTACTAGCT